GGGGTTTTCAACCTCAACACTATTGATATTTGGGGCTGGATAATTCTTTGTTGTGCGGGCTGTCTTGTGCATTACAGGATGTTTAGCAGCGTCCCTGGCCTCCACCCATTAGATGCCAGTTGCACTCTCCCCACTTCCCACCCCGTACCAGTTGTGACAATCACAAAGCTCCCTGGACATTGCCAGTTATCTCAGGGTAAGGGTAGGGGGCAAAATGGTCTCTGATGGAGAATCGAGAACCACTATGGGGGACTAAACTAATAATTATTTGCATGCTATGGTCTTGAACTCCTCTATAGGCATATTTGGGAATCCAGTTGTTCATTTTAATTCGTATGGTAGACTTCTAATAACCAATTTGGATTTAGAGGCTTTTATACTATTTCTCTTATATATAATTATCTGGGGGCAAGAACCAAAGCTGAGAGATGTTGCCCCCAGATAATACCTAATAAACTATTTTTTTGTGCAACAGCTATAGTGTTCTTTTAAAAAGTCAGATAATATCTTTCCTCTGTTCAAAAGCCTCCAGTGGTGCCACTTTACTCAGAGTAAAAGCTGAAGTCTTTACGATGTCTACAAGGCCCTGCAGGATCTGACTTTTTCTCCCATACACCTTCCCCATGGTGCCCCAGCCACATTATTCTTGCTGTTCCTAGGCCCTACCCTGCACACTCGTACCCTGGAGCTTTTGCATTAGCTTTACCTTCTTCCAGGAACATGGGTCCCTCAGAGAGCTGCGCCCATTTTGCAGTTTCTTCCAGTTCCTGCTCAAATGCTGCCTTTTCAGGGCGGTCTCCGCTATCAACCCATCTGATGTGGTTTGGCTGTGTCCCCACCCAAATCTCATCTTGAATTGTAGTTCCCATAATCACCACATGTTGTAGGAGGGACCAGGTGGAGATAACTGAATCATAAGGGTAGTTTCCCCCATCCTGGTCTCTTGATAGTGAGTGAGTTCTCATGAGATCTGATGGTTTTATAAGGGGCTTCCCCCTTCACTGGGCTCTCATTCTTCTCCTTCCTGCTGCCATGTGAAGAAGGATGTGTTTGCTTCCATTTCCACCATGATTGTAAGTATCCTGAGGCTTCCCAGCCATGCTGAACTGTGAGTCAGTTAAATCTCTTTCCTTTATAAATTACCCAGTCTCAGTTATGTCTTTATTTGCAGCATGAGAATGAATTATTACACCATCCTTTACTCTCTATTCTCTTTATCCTTTTTATTTGCTTGTTACCAAAAAGCATAGCATATACTTGTTTATTTTACTTTTCCTCCATTGAAATGCATGCATCAGAAGGCAGATACTAGCTCTTATTAATGGCTGTGTCCTGGTGCTGGCACATTCATTTGCCCAGCATGTATTTGTTGCTCAACAAATACTAGTTGAAGGATTGAATAATTTTTCTGTTAAATAAATCTAGTTCAAGTGGGGTTTGATTCTCAGTCTTAATTTTCTCCTCCAATTGGAGTCCTCCAGATCCAGAGATAAACTATAACCTATCCTCAGAGAAAGGCCCCATTTTCTAGTATTAGAGTGAAAGCTTTTTCTTTTTTTTTTTTTTTTGGTTGAGGGGAAGGCTGATCATAAAGTTTGGTTTTATTAATCAGGAATTTTTCATTTGTAAGAGACAGAAAATCCCACTCAGATAGGCTTAAGCAAAGAGGGTAGTATTTGTTCACAGAGCTAAAATCTGGGGATATACCTGGCTTTAGACATGGCTGGACCAACTGTGAAATCATGTTCTTAAGAAGATTTTTCTTTTTTCTTAGCTCTGCTTCATTTCCTGTGGCTCCATTCTCTTTCTGTATTATGGCAAAAACGGCCAAATAGAGCTATAGTTTTCCTTCTACCAACAAATCCTACAGAGAGTTCTTTTTCCCTAGGGTTCCTGCAAACTTTCTGACTCTCTTTGGCCTGGCTTGGGTCACAGGTCCTTCTCTGAACCAGTTACAGTGCCAGCTCTGGAACATCTGCTTCTTTGGAGCCACAGGAACTGACACTGGAGGAGGAGCATTTCTCCAAGGGAATATCAGCAAGATTTTTTACCTGAAGGAGGAGCAGTGGAATGCTGGGCAGGCAGAGGAGGGGTGTCTACTATCTTCTCTTTTTTATTGAGACAGAGTCTCACTCCGTCGTCCAGGCTGGAGTGCAGTGGTGTGATCTCGGCTCACTGCAGCCTCTGCCTCCTGGATTCCAGCAATTCTCCTGCCTCAGCCTCCAGGGTAGCTGGGATTACAGGCACCTGCCACCATGCCTGGCTAATTCTTGTATTTTTAGTTGAGACAGGGTTTCACCATGTTGGCCAGGCTGGCCTGAATTCCTGACCTCAAGTGATCCACCCGCCTTGGCCTCCCAAAGAATTGAGATTATGGGCGTAAACCACCACATCCAGCCTACTATCTTCTTAAGAATCGATTTCTCCCTTAACCCCAACAACAGCAATCCTTAGGAATTCTCAAAATCTCACTGAAGGGCATGCAACATAAGTCATGTTTTCTTTGTACATTTTTGAGGTACATGTGATGTCTTATTACATGCATAGAGTGTGTAATGATTTATCAGGGTATTTAGGGTTTCTATCACATTGAGTAGTTATTTCTATGTGTCAGAAACATTTCAATGCTTTCTTCTAGCTATTTTGAAATACACAATACATTGTTACTAATTGTAGTCATCCTCCTCTGCTGTCCAACACAAGAACTTACTCCTTCTAACAATATATTTGTACCTATTAACCGATCTCTATTTATTTTCACACCCCAAACCCCCACACCCTTCTCAGCCTCTGCTAACTATCATGCTACTGTCCACCTCCATGAGATCAATGTTTTTAGCTCCCACATATGAGTGAGAACATGTGATAGTTGTCTTTCTGGACACATAGACCATTTTCTGTATTTCCTTAAGAGAAACCAAAATATCACTGTAAATGTAATGAGACAGTGAGAATTTAATTTACCAGAACTTCTCAGGAGAGTAGGACAGTGATAGGAATAAAAATATGCCTATTCTATTTAGGAAGGGACCAAGACTCCCAAGGAACAATCTCAAATATTAGCTTTCTTATTTCCCCAACTGCCATCTAAGGAGAGTGGATCAGATTACCTGCAGGGCTTCTGTTTTAGAGTCAATTAAAGCACATTTGAGTCAAGAGTGTGACTTCTAATACAGAGGAGTGAAGATAGGGTTGTCTCGCTTGTGTCCTTTTCTTACCATGCCTAATACTTCAAAAAAAAAAAAAAGTCAAAATTACATTTATATATTTAGGAATTTCATGTAAATTTAAATAAGTGTGAAAATTTTAAATATTTAAAGAATAGCAATTTGAAGAGGCATCAAATCACTATCTTATCAGAGATGTGCCATTATTAGTCAACTTGGAGGCCAGGGAGTATGTCTCTACCTGGGCCTGCTTCTACTTTACTTTTTCAAAATGCACTAACAAGCCAGAGGCTCTTTTGAGTAATTGGATGCATTTCTTTATGCTTCTAGAGAGTATAGAGTTAGAGGTTGGGAGGGAGAGGGGAGAAGGGGAGTTCAGCAAAGGAGTAGGCCACTTTGCATACCTTATGCCCCCAAGAGAAGATTAAAGAGTGTTTTTATAGTGCAAGAACATTTTTTATACCCCAATTTCATGTGAGTAGACACGTTATACATATGCATGTATTATATATAACATGTATTTTATGCTATAATTATAAATTATATAAATGTATACTATATATGTTATATTAAATATAAACGTAATTTTATCAAATATATAAAAAGTATATGATTTGTTTTGGTTCTCTTTTACTTGGACTTTCCAAATACCACTGGAATCTAATATAAAATCGTAAGACTAGCACTTTTTAAAAAATCACTTTATTGACGTATAATTACATACAAAATGCTGTGTGTATTTAATGCATACAACTTGGTGAGTTTGGAGAGACCAGCATCCTGGGTAAATGAAATTCTCTTCTCTTCTCCAAAGTGTTCCATCTTCTCTTCCATTTTTTCTTGGAGGTTTTAAAACACCAGAGCTTCACCTGCATGCCTCTTGAGAGTTCGAATGGTCAACCCTGTCCACTGGCTTCATGACAAGAGGCTGGAATAGGAGCCTCCCACAACTTCCCAATGTGGCCACACAATGTCTCCCACTGACTAATTTGGGAACGCTTGGCAAAGGCAGTCTCTTAGTAGATGATGGAGCTGGACCTGATGTGCATGGTCAGAATGAAAAAGAGGATTGCAGCATGTGCAACAGGGATTAAGGATGGGTGAAGAACCAAATTGCAGCCATTAAAGAAGGGGCTAAAGATCATCAATTTCCCATTGAAGTTTCATGTTCTCAGATATCTCTGATCTTGTCTCTCTCTAACCCACACCACAAAGGAAAAGAGCACAGTATGATAGATTCTGTAATTTTATCACTGAGTACAAATGAAATGATTGTTTTAGGGAGATTTAAAGAAACATATATCTCCATGGCAGAACTCCTTAGTTTCAGAATATCTAAGGGTCTAAGTCTGAAACAGGAATTAGAAACTTTCTTTTCACCTTCTTTATTTTTATTTTTTGCTTTTTTATTTCTATAAGTTTTTGGGGGAACAGGTGGTATTTCGTTACATGAGTAAGTTCTTTAGTGGTGATTTGTGAGATTTTGGTGCACACATCACCCAAGCAGTATACACTGAACCCAGTTTGTAGTCTTTTATCCCTCACCCCCTTCCACACTTTCCCCCAAGTCTCCAAAGTCCATTGTATCATTCTTATGCATTTGTATCCTATCATAACTGAGCTCCCAATTATGAGTGAGAACATTTGATTTTTTGTTTTCTATTCCTGAGTTACTTCACTTAGAGTAATAGTCTCCAGTCCCATCTAGGCTGCTGTGAATGCCATTAATTTGTTCCTTTTTAAGGCTAAGTAGCAGTCCATGGTGTGTGTGTGTATGTGTGTGTGTGTGTGTGTATATATATATATATATATATATATATATATATATCTCACAATTTCTTAATCTACTCATTGATTGATAGGGATTTGGGCTGGTTCCACATTTTTCCAATTGCAAATTATGGTCCTATAAACATGCATATACAAATACACAAATATATTTTTCGTATAGTGACTTCTTTTCCTCTGGGTAGATACACAGTAGTAGGATTGCTGGATCAAATGGTAGTTCTACTTTTAGTTCTTTAAGGATCTCCACACTGTTTTCCATAGTGGTTGTACTAGTTTACGTTCCCACCAGCAGTGTAGAAGTGTTCCCTTTTCACGGCATCCCTGCCAACATCTGTTATTTTTTTATTTTTTTGATTATGGCCATTCTTGCAGGAGTAGGATGGCATCGCACTATGGTTTTGGTTTGCATTTCTCTGATCATTAGTGATGTTAAGCAGATTTTCTCTTTTCTTCCCATGCATGTAATAACAATTTCTATGTTTGTTGGCCAGAATATATACAAATAGCCACATAGAAATGACCTCTGAAAGCTAGCTATTTTGTATTGCTCAAAATGGGAATTCAGAATAAGATGAGAGTTGGTCTAGGGTCAGCACAGCCATGCGCAGTACCTAGTACCTGCTCTCCTTAGAATCAATGGTAAGTTAATTTAAGCTTAAAAGTTTGCTTTATTTATGATTTTCTTTTCTTTGGCAGTATCATCTGTATTTTACCCAAGGATGCTTTTTTTGGTTGTTGTTTAAATGGCATTTCTGAGGCTGTCTGGAGGTGCTCATGCTTGGCTCAGGGGCTGAGACTTATTTTTTTTCCTTTGAAAATGGCAGATTTGGAGAACTTCCAGGAAATGATTCTTCTTGAGGCTCTCAATTGGGTAGTGATGAATTCAGTAGGAGCGAGACACTTGACATTCTTATACTTGTATTTTTTCCTAATGCGTCAGTAACAAATACTGCGTCTTTGAAGCACAAGGTGATTTAGGTTCAATACCTGCTGAATGGGACAGATGAGTAGGAGTATGAGGAAACCCTGGTGTGAAAAGATGACTCTACTCACAGAGCTGCTATACTGAACACTTTACAAGCGTTATTTCATTTTGGCATCAGATGAGCTAGGTTTGAATACCACCTCCATCACCTATTAGCTGCACACCTTGAGCAATGTCTCAGTTTGCCTCTTGTGTAAAACAGAGAAAATAGTAGTAGCTACCTCAAAGAGTTCTTGTGAGAGGTAGCAAAATGTTTACATGTAAAACACTTAAAATGCTTAGTACCTACCTGGATTATAAGCATTTATAAATAGCTATCATCATTAGTTCTTACAAGATTACAACCTTTTTACAGATGAAGAAACTGACATTTAGAAAGATCAAATAATTTGCACAGGATCACACAGTTGGCAAGTGACTGAGCCAGGACTTGAAACCAAGTGTTTCTGTCTCCTTTGCTTAGGTTATTGGCCATTCTATATTATGTGGCTCAAAAGAACTTGTAGGGTAGGACACAGATATTTATAAGTGACTGTAATTTCCAGCAAATAAATAAATAAATAATAAATAAACAAATGGAGCTAGGATAGATTATGTCTCGATGGGGAAATGGGGACATTAGAGAGGGGTGACATTTCTTCTTAGCCATAGTATGGACAATTGCGATACTGTCAGTCATATATTGACTGAATTGTGTTTCCAGTTATTGGTTATGGGTGTTCAAATTTGGCTTGGGACTTTTTTTCTGATTTAAATGTTAAATTTGAAAGCATACCGGCTGGGTGTGATGGCTCATGCCTGTAATCCTAGCACTTTGGGAGGCCAAGACAGGTGGATCACGAGGTTAGGAGTTCAAGACCAGCCTGGCCAACATGGTGAAACCCCATCTCTACTAAAAATACAAATATTAGCTGAGCATGGTGGCAGGTGCCTGTAATCTCAGCTACTTGGGAGGCTGAGGCAGAGAATTGCCTGAACACGGGAGGCAGAGGTTGCAGTGAGCTGAGATTGTGTCATTGCACTCCAGCATGGGCAACAGAGTAAGACTCTGTCTAAAAAAATAAAAATAGAAAATTGGAAGCATACCATGAAAATGACATCTCCAATGACTTAAATGTTGATACGACAAATTCAAAATCTTATAAAGGTTCTGGGAAATAATTTCTCTATGGTTCCCATGTTTGTTTTGGCAGAAAAATAATCCTTCCACTCACAAAACGTGTTAAACTTTGCTGATCTTATGGCCACCTTCTATTCTTTTCCTTGTTTTTATACTTTCACAATCATTAAATGTTTTAAACTTTTTTTGTTTCATAAATTTAAAATATACTTTATACCCCAATAAACTCATTATAAAGTTGAAAAATTATAAATCAAACCAAAGTAAGTTGGGGACCATCTGTATCTCAATTCACCCTTCCAACAATCCTGAAAAGAAGAACTTGGACTCATTTTATAGATAAGGTTTGAAAATGAATGATTTGCTCAAGTTAGAGGGCCAGGCTGAGGGCCCAGGTCCCCCTGCATCCAATGCCCAGAACTCTTACTTCAAACAGGGACCAAGAGCGACGGTAGTAGGGGTTGAGGCACAGCTTGCATTGTCACATCTGTGCCCTCCAGAAGTCATCACATGTTCTCTGATGGGTGAGCTGGGGTTTTTCAACATGCCAGGAGCTTATGTCTTGCAATGACTGATGTTATGTTCATGTCTTAAATTAATGGTTGTGCCTGATGCCTCTTCAAATATAATGAATCTCATGAGTGGAACAGCTTGCTGATTCCATGTGTGTTGATGACAGGTTGACTTTATTACCTGCCCCTACCCTACCAGTTTTTTGGAGACAGGGTCTTACTGTGTACCCCAGGCTGGGTGCAGTAGTGCAATTATAGCTCACTGCAGCTTCAAACTCCTGGATTCAAGAGATTCACCCACCTCAACCTCCTAAGTAGCTTGGAACTACAGGCATGTGCTCCCATACCCCATAAATTAAAAAACAATTTTTTTTGTAGAGATGAGGTATTATTATGTTGCTCGGGCTGGTCTTGAACTCCTAGCCTCAGCCATCCTCCTGCCTTGGGTTCCCAAAGCGCTAAGATTACAGGCATAACCCACTGTGCCTGACCTATTTTCTCCTTTTTGCCCCCCTGACCAATCCCTATTGCTACATACCCTGGTATATCATAGAAAATTTAGAAAGTAGAGAAATGCATAATGCAATAAAAAAGATGTCAAAACATGTATGTGACACATCATCCAGAAACCACTTTGTTGTATGCCTCTCTAGCTTCTGTTCTTTCTTTCTAACCTAGTTGAATTTATACTGTATAAAATCATGCATTACTTTACAATGGGAGTATTTCTGAGAAACGCAATTTCTGAGTTAGGCAATTTTATCATTGTCTGAACATCACAGAGTGTACTTACACAAACCTAGATGGTACAGCCTATTGCTCCTAGGCCACAAAGCTGCATAGCATGTTACTATACTGATTACTATAGGCAACTGTAACACAATGGTATTTTTGTAACTAAACGTATCTAAACAAAGAAAAGGTACAGTAAAATTATGATATTATATTATAACATTATGGGATCATCTTTGCATATACAATCTGATATTGACCAAAACATCACTGTGTGGCAAATGGCTTTGTATGTTTTTACTTCTTAAAAAAGTGTAACCCCCCAGTCACTGCACTCTGCACTGGGTTTTTTTTTCTTTATTTGGGGGTGGTGTTTGTTTTAGCATTTTATAAGATAAATTGTAGAAATTTGAGATCCACTTTGAATAAATGGCTCGTGATGCCTCTTGTTTGACTTTCCAAGAATATGTCTTATTCTTTAAAAGGTTTCAGATCTGACAGAGCAGTTAGAGGAGAGGATCTATCAGCTTTATAATGACCACAACAAGATCATATCCAGGAAAAGCTCCAGGGGTTCACTCAGAAAGTGGCAAAGATCAGCCATTTGGAAACAGAGCTCAAACAAGTTGGGCACAGCATGGAGACTGTGTACAAAGACCTATGCATCCAGCCTGAGGTATCCCGCCTGAGCAAACTCATCCCTCTGAGCAAGCTCAGAGATGGCCCAGCTGAGAGTCAATGTGAAGAGAAACCAGGCAGCCTGCCCTGACCCCACAAGGCCACAGTCCCTGCAAAGCCCATGGTGCTCTTACCATCTCATTTGTGACCCCCTGTAATATGGCATGTCCAAGCAGAGAAGCCAGACCTCTGTCATTTCCCATCATTGCGTGATCAGCTGTGTGGTGACAGAAAGAACAAAATGCCCTGCACCTCTGCTGTTCAGAAACTGTCCTCTCTGTCCACAGCCCTGAGCCCTGCATCCCTGGTATATAACCCCCCCAGGGGTCTGGGCAGTGCTAACCTGGGTTTATTTATTACAGCAGAGCCTAAGACTCAAACATGGACTAGACCACCATGTCCCAGTGACTCACAGCACTCAGATGTGTTCGTTTCTCCTGTGGCTGAAACTACTTTTCAGGTGGCTACCAGTAAACGCGGTCCCTACCACGTCCCAGTGACTCAGAGCACCAGATGTGTTCGTTTCTTCTGTGGCTGAAACTACTTCTCAGGTGGTTACCAGTAAATGCAGCCCAACATTGTGGGGTCAGACGTGTAGCCTCTTCATTTTCCTCTCTTATTCTGCTTCAACGTCCAGCATAAGGCACTCCCCCAAGATAGGAGGGTCAGAGGGTGCACTGTGAACTCTTGGTGTAAGGGGGGTTTAGGCAGAGACCAAGATGGTCTTGAGGAAGTTGATTCAATGTCACACTCCTTCTCTCAAGAAAAGTTTCTATTCCAAGGTAAATGTAGTCTGTTCTATTGCCTGGTTAAAAGTGGATTGGGAAAGACTACAGAGAATTCCATCTTCTTTTTAAGGAACACATCTAAACAACTGCAGCAGGGAAATTTTGATATTTTAAAATCAGTGTCTCTCACTTCCCACTCCATCCGCTGGCTTCCTTTCTAAGCTCGGAATCCAGCCAGGCCTGTCTCTGGGAAGGGACTTGAGAGTTTTGGGACCCTGGCTGCATGGGCTCACTTGCCAGCCATGAATGCCTGGATTCCTGTGACAGCTCTTCCCAGGATCGGGGTGCACATGTCATGTGCA